CCAAGATGCATTATGTAAAGGTACAATTCCCAATGAGAAATGTAATTGTGTTGTATACCTACAATGTACCAATAAAAGAATTTAACAACAACAAAAAAAGAAATACAAGTATAAGTCCTTTATCTATGACCAGTAAGTATCTCTAGCTTTCATTTACTGAGCACATGATATATACCTGTCACTATGATAGGTACTTTACATATTCGTCTCAGCTCAGGACTACCTTAAATTTTCATTTAAACTGCAAAGTAAATGAGTTAGGGAGTCAGGGTTGATAATCTGACCCAATCAAAAAAAATATAACAGCATAAAGATAGTAATTTATATACCTTGATTTGTCTGAAGTGAATGTTGGTAATTGTGTTTTACAGAATGGTTAAGTAACTTGGCTGAAGACATACAGCTAGAAAGTAACGGAACAACCACAAACTCTGTTGTGTTGTACTCTAAAATTCATTCATAGTTGGGTGCGGTGGTGGTGCATGCCTGTAATCCCAGCACTGTGGGAAGCTGACACAGGAGAATCAGAAGTTCCAGGCCAGCCTGAGCAATTTAAGATCAAGATACAATATGTATATGTACCAAGACCCCAGGATGAATATATTCATTATGTATCACAAACATATACTAATAAAAAATTAAAAGTAAATAAATAAAAATAAAAATAATAAAAGGGTTGCAGATATAGCTCATTGTGAAGACCCTGAGTTCATTCTCCAGTACCACAAAAACAAACACACACATTTTGCTAGGCTTCTAACTAATATGCTGGTAAATACTATAAAATAGGACTTTTTTTTTTTACCAGGGATCAAACTCAGGACTTTGGACTTGTGAGGCAGGTGCGGTGCCACTGAGTTAAATCCCTGGCCCAAAATAGGACTAATTTTACAGCTGGGACTATTTTAATCTGAAGACAAATTTGAAATATTTGGGCTTTATAAATATAGTTAATAAAAATTATGCGGTATTATGTATTTTACTAACAAATTATTTCATCACTTTCTGATTACTTCTTAACTGCATATTCATAGTGAATACAGCAATCATTTGAGTTGTTTAAATAAACTTCTTTCAAATCCCAGCATTTCAAAATATATTATTTCATTTAAAAAATAGAAATGTAGGGATATGGAAATATGTATGACTGTCTACCAGGCACCTACAGAAACAGCTTCTATGTAATAATTGTGAATTAGTCTGGTTTTTGGTCTAGTATAATGTTAAGGAAAATTAACAAGCTAGCTACATACCCCAATGCATTTTCTGGAGGAGTCTGCAGCCTCATTGAAGGTGAAGTTGATCTCCATGGAGCCAGGTAGATAATTATGAGGCAATTATCCAGATAATTCAGTAGAATTCATTTTAGCTCACAAATCATCCTCAAGGTTTCAGTTCCCTCTGCATTTGGTTCATAACTCTATTCTTTCTTTTGAAGACCTCTAATTAAATGGATAAAGAGTATTAGCCCAAGTTAGTCCAGGCTCCATCATAGCAAAACCAAACTCACAATATGGATTGTTGCATCAGCATGGACATGTACTGATTTAATAAGAGTGCATTGCCCTGAACTGGAATGTGGATAAACAACAAGGCAACTTTTAGGTGAGACCTGTACTTAGAGAGGGTTGGAAAATAGTTTCTTTGGAGGCAGGGGGATTGACCTAAATTACCTTTTGAATTTTTTCATACAGCCCAGTAATTCCAAGTATTTGCTTAAACCACAAATGCTTTATTGATATGATTTTTTTCAAGTACTGAAATAGTACCTTATATTTTCTAGAATTACATAGTTATACTTATGGATGAACATAGAATTTATTTCATATGAACTCTACACTTTTTATATTTGAAGATTTGGAGACTTCAGATACACAAATGAAGAAATGTTATTGGGAGAAAAATATGATGAAACCTTGGTTATTTAAACTTTGAACCAGCCTTGAGGGCTGGCTACTATATACTTAACTTATTTCCTGTTTGCCCCAAGAATACTCACTGTCAGTGCTTCTGTCTGCAGCATTTAACCCGCGATGATTTATGGTTTATAATCCTTACCTTACTCCCAAAATTTGTCATGCACTGTCTTGATTTTATTATTACTTTAGCATCATTCTAGTATATCCACAATCTTTGGAAATAAAAGACATCATTCCATTTATGGTATTTTGATTTTAGTAGTGGTATTTCTTAATATCTTTTTTTTTTTGTACCGGGGATCGAACTCGGGACCTTTTGCTTTCGAGGCAGGCAGTGGAACCTCTGAGCTAAATCCCCGGCACTAGTAGTGCAATTTCTATTTACAAAATACAGTAATTCACAATCATTAAAAAGTAAATGAACACTGGCAAAGAGCTGTACTTTTTTTCCTAAATGGAAATTAGGCAAGATTATAGTATTGAGATATAATAATTAGTATATGAACTAAAAGACATTAAAATTAATAAATGCTAAAAAGGTATGTATCTCCTTCCTCCTTCCAACTGAAGTGAATGCAGATTTAGAATAATGGAGAAACTGTACCTTTCTCTTCCCCTGGTTGCTATGGCATTGCATCTCTTTCTTCTCCCTCTACTCTCTGGCTATTTCTACTGAGTCATTTTGATCTCTCCTTAGAAGACAGAGCCACATCCAGGCATATTGGTGCATGCCTGTAATACCAGTACTCTGGGAAGCTGAGACAGGAGGATCACAAGTTTGAGAGCTTGGGCAATTAGCGACTTAGTGAGTGAAAAAAAAAAAAAGAAGAATTAAAAAGACTGGAGAGGTCGCTGAGTGTGAAGGCCCTAGGTTCTATCCCCAGTACTCCCAGTACTGGAGGAGGAGGGAGAGACACAGAGACAGACTGACAGCTGGCAACCCCCACTTTTCTGTCCATGGACTTTTCCCCATTCTGTACACTGTATTAGGGGACTCTTTACTCCAGAGACTTCAATTATATGAAGCTTTCCAAGTTTATATTATCAGCCGAGCTGCAAAACCATTTGTTCATCTCCTTGTGGAATCTTTCCACCTGGATTTTTCACAAGCACTTAAAAATTAACAAATTCAAAAGGGAATTAATTGTTTTTCACTGAAAAACTTGCTTCTTCTGAATTTTTGAACACCATATCCGTTAATCACAGAATTAGAAAATTGAAGCTCTTTGGGTTCTTTCTATCTTTATTGTATCCCTATGTCCAAAGGGGGACCAAACCCTATCAATTTACCTACTTTAAAAATCTTATTTCTCTTCTTCATTCTTCATATCCCTTTTTACCTTAAATCACCTTCTTGCCATTTTTTAAGCTCTGTTCATTTCCATTTTTCCCTCCAAATTATGAACTGATTGAGAACTGGTAATTCCACTATCTAAAGTATTTATAGGTCTCCCTCTTTTTCTATTCTGCTGTTTCTTCTGTTTCTCCCTTAGGTTAGTTTTTCTCCCATATATGTATATATGTGTGTGGTTTTCTTTACCTGTTGATGCTTATTGTGTATGTATATATGGATGTGTTGCTTATGAGGTAAAAAAGTATGGCAAATGTTTAAATGTTAAAAAATATATTATAGTAAAAGACACATTGCCATTAATCCCCCTCAGAATATCCCATCATTTCAAACACACCTATTCCATTGTTCTTACTGCTTGTGGAAGCAGTTCCGGAAGTCTTCTATTGTGAGTGTCCTTAGTTACACTGTCATGGTTTCCTTGATATCCTGAATTGTGATTTAAAAAAAAATACAGTGAATACTGCTGCCAGGTACTACACAATGGATAGACAGACTCATAAAAACATTACACTGTGTCCTCATCCACCTTATTCACTTGGTATGGCACCATGTAACTTCTGAATCTTCCTCAAACTCAAAGTGACAATGAAAGGTAAATATTTTGAATCGATTCAGGACATCGAGGCAGCCATTGAGGCAGCAAAACTAAAGACACTCATAAAAGAGGACTTAGAGAACTGCTTCAGAAAGTGGCAAGAATGATAGGATAAATGTGTTTGAAACAAGGGAGGGTATTTTGGGGGAGGTTAAGAGTAATGTGTCTTTTATTGTAATAAATTTTAAAAACTTAAACATTCACTGTATATTTTGATCAGACCTCAAATATGCTCACTGTACATTTATGTGAATTATTTGAGGTACAGAATGAAGCTACTTTACTACTAGAGAGTAATTATGCTTTTCTGCCTATTTCCTGGAGGAATTAGTAATTTGTTTTTGTTTTTCTTTTTGGTACCAGGGATTGAACTCTGGTCCTTGCACTTTTGAGACAGGCGGTGGAACCACTGAGCTAAATCCCTAGCCCCAAAGGCATTAGTAATTTGTAGGACCATTGTCCAAATTCAAAAGTTGTTAAGTTCTGAAACTTACATAAAGTGTGTGATGTAAACATGCACTTTTCAGTTCACCCTACAGGGGTTTGCTTTTGTCTCAAATTGTTTTAGGGAGAATCATCTCTTGGGTTTTGTTCCCATTTCCCCGTTATGTAGTACAGATTAAAGTTCAGATTTGCCAGACAGGCAGTGCTGGTAAGTCAAAAGCAACTTTTATCCTCATCTTTTTGGGACCCTACATATTTTTAAGTTTTTGTCCTAATCATTATTTACCATCTAGTCAATTCATCTTTGCTTTTAAAAACAGATTTTAATAACTATCCACATCTTTTAGTATTTAGTGGAAGGATTGTTCTGAACAAGTTTCCCATTGTTGCCAGTCACAAGCCTTAGCTCAGTGTATCTTCTGCTGAGTCATAGGTGACTTCATGTAAGACTGTTTTCTTGTTCCCATGGGGAAGCACACACTTTAGGCTTGCAAAGAAAACAAATGAAACTGTAAATTTAGCTTTCATTTGATTTCAGAATGGGTATTTCTATATATAAGGCAAAAATAATATTTATGAAATATTTCATAAATTAGCATGGGTTAGTATTTGTTCCTTTAGGTCTATAGTGTGCAAAGAGCCATCGCACTGCAGTAAGACAGTCATTGTGTGGTATTAGCACTGTACCGTGTAGGATGTTTATTGTACAGCAGCCAACTAGTTATCTTTCTTACTGACATGTTTGCTGCAGATTTTATTTAGAACCTGAGGGATGAAGAATGTATTTTTGCATGACTGTATGAGAATTGTGATTTTTCTAGAAATCTGTATCCTGTCAGAGTTTATGAAGGCCAGCCATACTGCCTTTTCTCTATCCATTGCTAAGAAGTTTGAGTGTAAAGTATTTATTTTCCTAATATCTCTCAAGAGTATCCCATGCTGCTTGCCTGGTGCAGCAGGAGGATGCCTATGTGGCAGACTGTTAAGTGCAACAGTAAATCAAACCTCCTGGCCTTTCATGTCATTGTGTGGTTCCTCCTCACAGTAATTTGGGCTCAACCATGTGACTTGCATTGGCCATGTCTCAAGGCAAAGCTTGATAAGTGCTTGTCTATGGGTCCCTCTGTGGCTGGCAGAGTATAAAGAAGCCTGATCTGGACTCCACATGGATGGAGAGACCCCTGGTGGTAGAACCCTCACTCTCTTAGCTCAGTGCCATCCCCAGCTGGCCCACTAGCTGAGAGTAGCAGCATGAATGGTCCCAGGGAGGCCACTACTCCCCAATGTGGAACAATTTGTTTTTGAAACAGCAGCTTATTGTTTGGGTTTGTTATGCAGCAACACATAGCAGAGGCACTTACTATGCTCGTGTAGCTGCCTTGTTTTTTTGCGTGCCACCTTTAATTTTAAATAACACAAATGATTCTTAATGCCTGTCTTATTTTCCTTCCAAAATGGATTTTAATTATTACCTAATGAACAATTAAGCAGCCAAGACATGACAGAGGAATTTATTTAATTGCTCATGTAATCATTGACTCAATTCTATAGGAATTTAATAGAAAATGAAATTACATTTTAAGCTAACTTCTGTCAGTTTTAGACTCTGTTTTAATGGCACTGGTATCAGACCTGGGGACTTGCACATGCTAGGCGAGTGTTCTAACACTGAGCTACATTCCCAGCTCAGTTTTAGACTTTTTGTATTGCTTCTTGTTCATAGAAATTGATGACTGCTGCTCTGATTTTTTGTTGTTGTTGTTGCCTTTGTTTTTCATTTTTGGTGCTGGAGATTGAACCCAGGACCTTGTGCATGCTAGGCAAATGCTCTACCACTGAGCTACACTCCCAGACCTACTGCCACATTTTATATATTCTTTATAAGTTACAACTTCTGAAATCCTCTTGCAGAACTTGACATAAACAATTTATAGGTTAGTTTGGCTTATAATATTTAACTAATATGAACAACCAAAGACTTTTAACTGTATTTTTGACAAAGCCATATAATATAAAGTACTATAAGTGACTTACTTCAAACTAAAGAAAAGGTTATGTAGGATAGTCTATAATAAACTGTCTTAAGATTAACAATTTCTTTTGTTATTTACAGTTTAAAAACCAAGTTATGATTTGTACCAAGTTGTAAGTAGGACATTAAAATATTTCATCCTCAGCTGTATCTGTCCTGTTTATGAAAAAAGCCAACTATGAAAAGGCCAACAGTTACAAATTCCTTGAATTAATTCCAGTGTTGTCAGATGGGAAAGTGGCAGCAATTCTTTACTGTATAAATTGAATTAGTTCAACGAATCAGGTTTTTATCTTGCACTTGTACATATTATTTTTTTGGATTTGGTGACAATAGCCTTTTTAATAATACTGATGGTCCCAATATTTGTGATGTAGAAGGAGCACAACCTTGGGAGTCTGACAAGTTGGGTGTTCCATCTTGAAGATGCTACTCGCCAGTTGCTGGCCTTTGCACTGCTTGTCTAGGCCTAGTTTCCTCATCAGTAAAACAAGGGCACTAAGATGATGTCCATCTTTAAATTCTATTAATTCAGAGATTTGGGGTTGGGGAGAATGCATTGCTCTGATGTATCTTCTTGAAGAAAAGCATGATTTTAGAGTTACCACATTGTTCCCTATTTGCATACATTGCTGTATTGTTGAGTGAGAATACATCTCGTTCTTGTGCATCACTCACACCATAGAAAAAATTATAATTTTCAAGTCAGTGATGACTGACTGCATGGAGTATCAGCAGCCAAGTTCCTAACATGTCTAATGCAACTTTTAGAGATTAGTGTTTTGTATAAAATGTCTTACAGGAAATAGAAATGAGCTGGGTGTGATGGTGCATGCCTGTGATCTCAGCTACTCAGGAGGCTGAGGCAGGAGGACCTCAAGTTTGCAGCTAGACTGGGCAACTTAGTTGAGATCCTGTCTCAAAATAAAAATAAAAGGGAGTAAGGGTTGTAGCTTAGTGGTAGAGCACTTTATTTTTAGGCACAAGGCCTTGGGTCCTATTCCTAGTATATACTGGGAAGAAAAAAATTCTTTAAATGCCTGTATTTTGTAACTTGAGTATGTTTAAAATCACAGTTTCAGTTTTTTTTAATGTAGCATTTGTCTTCTTTCTTCCTTTCCTGTTTTTCCTCCTCCTCCTCCCTTTCCTTACCCTCCTTTTTAAACTCTAGGTACCTAATTTTGATTTCCTTGGGAAAATAGTAATCTTAGTTCATATACATTTTTAAGAGACATCTTCATTACATTTCTCTATATATTTCAATATTGATATGGAATGATTGTTACGGACACTACTACTGCTGGGCATTAGAAATAAAAACTATAGAACTATTTTTATTTTCAAACTTATTACTTATTTCTTTACAGAACATTAGCCCTGATTAAACCAGATGCAGTATCAAAGGTTGGAGAAATAATTGAAATAATAAACAAAGCTGGGTTTACTATAACCAAACTCAAAATGATGACACTTTCAAGGTGAGTTGTTGATCATTTTCAGTTATGAAATGTCCTATTCTTTTTTTTAAAAAATCATGTATCTTTCACATCATTATTTTAAAAAATAACCTCTCACTGACTAGCAAAGAATAAAATAGTAATCTTACCAAAATGAGCAAAAAAACCCATGTAATCATATGTAACTCAGGAAAGTCTAACCAGTAGAAGTATCTAATTATACAGGCCTCTTTTAACTATTTCCTTCTGTAGCCCCATCTACTTTTATAATACCAGCGGTTGGTAATTGTAATTTCTTCTTTATCATATTTAAAAATTGTAAAAGAGAAAATGAATGTCTGATTATTTCTATATGCTCAAATTTCCAAAAGGGTTACATTTGGAAATGTTTATATTAAGCTCCTCTTAATATATACAATAGGTAAATAGGCCTACTTGCTACTCTGAAAAGCAACCCGGATATCTAATCAGATATTTTCTAGGTTATTTAGTGAAAATGAGACTTACCCTATTTAGCCCTTTTTATCACAAAGTAACTAACTCTAATCTCATGATAAAATTATGTTTCTGCCTTGGGAATTGCATGGAAAATATTCACTATAAGTTCAAATAAAGAATAGAGAAATGGGATTACCTTATTTTCCCAGAGCCTGTGGAGGGAGAAATGATCCTTCCATGGTATTGGATATTTATTTTTAAAAAATTTTCCTATCAAGTGGACAAAGCTATGGCTCAGATATTCCAGACAATGAAGAAGCAAGATGGAGCATCTGTTAAACAGAGGCCCCTGTTCCCTGAGATTATGCTGACGTTGGCCAAGGGTTACACAGTAGCACAGAGTGTCTACAGGGACATAAATGTAGCACTTAGACTGAGCTGGCTCTGGTGGTATTCTTATATTTCTCCTCTAGTTTTTTGTTTGGTTTTGATCAGGTGTCTTCTTACTGCTTCAGAAATCGTCTGTTCCTTTATGTCTGTTTCATGGGTCAGCTGCATTTGTGTTTCTTTGAGAACAGGGACAATGAATAGCAGTGGACAGTCAACACTACTCCTAAGTGTTTTTAACAAAATATCCTCAGCTTTATCTCAACAATGACATATGTTTAATTTGAAATTTTCTCCTGCGTAAGATCTCCCTGTTTCCAGGCAAGAGTCTTACATTTCAGAGCAGAGCCTAGAGCCAGTTGCTTATAACTATACCACTTCCTAGGTGTTTGACTCTGAACAATTTACCTGTCCTTGTTTCTGCAAAATGCAGGTTATGATAGTACCTGTAGCCTAAAATTGTTATGAGGGTTACATGAGTTTACTATCTGTATGCCTCTAATGTTTGATAACTTAGTGTCAGACTTCCCATGAAGGAGATGCTATATGTCTATTGTAATGGCTCTGTAACATAAATGAAGCTGCTGGAACCAGTCAGTGCCTCAAAAGCACCATAGAGTATAAATTTGGTAGAATTTCCTTGAAACATTGAGACTTCTTAATTCCATCCAGGTCTTGTAAAACTCTTCATCCTTTGGAGGGGCACAAATGCAAGCACGTATATTTATTGTCTGTATACACATTCATTCCTTTAGTTTTGTGTACCTTTCCTTTCAGTCTGCACACTAATCTATTATCAAACCCTTTTTACTGATGCTTCTGTAAGTCTTGTCATTGTGAGCAAACATTCCACAGTGCTCCCCAGTCCCCCCTACCTCTTTCCTTTAGTTGAAATCTGATTCTTCTCCAAGAGCACCCTTCTGCAAGCTCCACTCTTTCACAAAACCACTCATCCTTAGAATATCATTCCATTTAGCTAACAGTGCCAGCTCCTGAGCCTCATTTCCATTCATCAGGTCACAGGCTCAACATTTATTAAGTATTTGAGCACTCTGCTTCTAATCTTTTTGCCCACTCTGACTTCTGTCAGTAGGAACATTTGACATCTCTGTGAGTGATCACCCAGGACCCCTTGCTCTGTAGACACTTTGCCTCCCCATCTCTGTGACTGTCGCCATCATTTCATAACCTGCCATGACTACATCTCTAAAGTAGACATTCTTCCTGGTTCTTTGTATATTCTTTTCTTCATACTTTCTCTGGGGTAGTTCCCATATGGGGCCATATCATCACCTATTTACAGATGAAATTCAAATACATATCCAGCCCTGACTTCTCTTTATCACTGGAAGTGATGCTAGATTCATCCTTCTCTTCCTTGTTCCTCCTATCTATCTATCTAACTAACTAATTTTTAAGTCTTTTTACTTCCTTTTTCTATACATCTCTGGGAGCCTTTTCCTTCTTACAGTTCTCATTTTTATGGACCCTGTTTAGATCCTCAGAATATTAAAATAGGCTGCTGACTGACTTGCCTACAATCTAGACTTAATATACTCTACTGACACTTGGTGGGTTATTTCCTACCCTAAAATTTGCTTCATTCTATTCTGTATGTAAACACAAATGAATCTTATAAAATGAAATGTCACCATCCTCTTCCTTAAACCTTTCAGCAGTTTTCCATCTGCAGGCAAAAATAGACTAGCTCTTTGGTGGTGTAGACAAGACCCTTAGTCATCTGGCCTCACCTATCTTAATAGACTCACCTCTTGCCACTCCCAGAGGCCATTTGGGTTTCTGTCACCTGAATATTCCATGCTTTATCTCACCTCTGTTCTCCTGTGCATAATTTTGTTCTTTCTTGAATGCTCTACTTTGTTTTCTAGTCAGGGCCTTGCATTCTTGACCTGCTCAGAAAGACATGTTAGGAGCACGGGAGACCCAAAAAGGTGCTTTCTTCAGTGCTTAAAGTCTTCCAGATTGCATTCAGGTGTCAGTGCCTCTGTCGTGATAGTTTTCAAAAGGCAGGAGCTGGGTTACCTCTGAATTTGTATTTCTAGTTCTTGGATCCAAGGGTGGCACTAAGTAAATGCCATCAGGTACCACCTAGCAACAGGGGGGTCAATGATGGTGATGGACATATACTCAGTGTTAGTTTCATAAGATTTGAATGAAGCTGAAACATCTCTATCACCTGGTGATGTCAAAGCTGTCGTAATATCATGGCACAGAGCATTATCCATGTTTGTGGTAAAGCCACGGTATAAGCAAACCTACAAAGCTGCCAGTTGTGTAACAGTTATATACAATATGGTACATAATACCTGATAATGATAAATGATTATGCTACTGGTTTATGTAATTACTGTACTTTTTAATATTTTAAAAGGTTCATTTGCTTTTTAAAAAGTTTACCATAAGGCACTGTGCTTTGTTACACTGGGGGCAGTCTTACACATGTGTTAACCAAGTCTCTCGATTGCATCATGAAGCCATGTTGAGTGATTGGCTTATACCATCTAGGTTTGTATAAATACATTGTTATGTTCACATAAATGATAAGATTCTCTGAACAGTGCATTTCTCAGAACAGATCTCACTATTAAGTGATGTGAATACACACACACACACACACACACACACGTATTTTTTAACATTTTTCCTTTTTTTTGGTACCAGTTATTGAACACAGGATTTTTGCACCGAGCTACATCCCAGAACATTTTAACAACCTTATTTATTTTTAAACTTTGAGGCAGGGTCTCACTAAGATCCTGAGTTTCCCAGGCTGGGCTTGAACTTGTGGTCCTCTTGCCTCAACCTTCCAGAGTGCTGGCGTGACAGGCGTGTGCCATCACTCCTAGCTGACTGTATTTCTTAAGATAATTAATGTGAAAGAATGTGTGTGTGATTAATGTGAAAGAAAAATCCTCATGAAAGAATGGTGAGTTTCTTCATAAATACACAACAAGCCACCAACAAAAATCTTCTGTTGGTAATGGTGTGTTTGTTAAAATCTATCTCCTTCTCAGTCTCTTAAGGGAAAACTTAAATAAGAATGATGGGAAAAATTTCATGAACTCTCATTCTGATTTCAACTTTGGATTTGGAATGGAGATAACTATGGAATCAGTAACATGTTAGGAGGAAACAAACATGTTTACTATTGTATTGAGGTTTCTTTTCATTGATATTCATGATTATTATATGAATTGTTTTCTTTTTAGTAGTTCAATCTTATCTATGTTGAAAAGATTAGAGTTAGTTATTTTAATACCATTCTGCTAATTCTTCTAATTTACTCTCCATGGGAGTGTTTTAGACATCCAGTTTTGCCCTATGTTAGATTATAGAATAATTTACACATATCTAGTTTCTGTGAACTCTTCTCTTTTTTGTTGAGATTCCTTCCTCCTGTGATTGGTAGTACAGCATAAGCAATCAGATTTGCAATCAGAGAGATCTGAGTTTAAATCTTCCTATCTTGCCTTTACTGTCTCTTTGACCTCTTTGATAAGTTATATAATCATACTGAACCTAATTCTTCTCATATGTAAAGATGAAGGTGATCATATCTGTTTCAGTATGCCATTGTGAGGAATAAATCCAATAATTTAATCATGCATATAATAGGCTCTAGAAAAATGAGAGGTTTCTTCCCCTCTCCATGTCTTGTGATATATTTTATTTTTTTTATGTTGGCTTAGTATACTTTTGTAGTCTCTTTTAAACAAAGGAAATCTTTGAATACAGTGGTTAGAATCAGAGTATACTTGGGTATAACATGTTATGTGAATTAATATTGTAATAGATCAATAAGATCTTAAAAGCATTGCATACCAAATTAAATCTTTTTTTTGTACTAGGAGTCGAACTCAGGACCTGTGATTGACAAGCAGGCTCTGTGCCACTGAGCTAAATCCCTGGCACTGCCAAATTAATTTTTAAGCCTGAAGGATTGATCCTTTGTTAGCAAAGACTTCAACTTATTTGCTATTTTAAAAAATAATTGAGGTTGACAAATATTTTTCACATATTGTGAACTCAGTTTAAATCCTTTAAGAAAACTACACAGTTTTAAGAAAGATACTGTGTTTGCTTAAAAAAGAAAACAAAAGTTCTTCAGACTTTTCAGCTTATCCATTTAAAGTGCATTATCCTTTTATTGATCTCTATAGATATCCTTTAATGGAAATATAAATTTAAAAAGTAAATTCCCATTAGCATTAATGAAATTAATTACCATTAATTCTGAATTTTTAATATCTCCATGTTCTTTCCCTGATGTCATTTAAAACATTTATTTTTAAGTCATTAATAGTCAATAGGAATACATTAATATGCCTAATTTGTTAAGCACCTTCTAAACTACTAAATTAAAAACTACTAAATTTAAAACTACTAAATTAAAATTGTAGTCTAAACTCTCTAGGAAAAAATATGTAGAAGAAAGTGACAAATTTTGAGTTAGACTTGGACTTTAACAAGTATTCTTATTGGTCAAATGTTAAACTTTGTTTCTAGAATTTTAAAGATGGTAGTGAAAAGGAAGTCAGATGATAACACAAATTAGAAAAACAACTTATATTATAAATGTACTAATAAAAAAGATAAAGAAAAGTAAATACTTAGCTGGGCATGATGGTGCCCGCCTGTAATCTAGCAGTCTGAGAGACTGAGGCAGGAGGATCACAATTTTGAGCTCAGCCTGGGCAACTTAGTGACTTAGTGAAACTGTCTAAAAAATAAAACAACAAAAACAGGTGGACATGTAGCTCAGTGTGAAGGCCTTGAGTTCAATTCCCAGTACTGCACAATGAGGGAGGGGGACTTAATTTTCATTTTTGTTTTATATTTTAACATAGATATGACTCATACTTGCAAAATACTTAAAAGGAGGTAGATTTGCCTATTTGGTGAAAAATCAATAATTAATTCATTTACAGATGAAATATATATCTTTAGAGGATTTTACCTTTATTTTATTTTAATAATGTAAGCTAAAATAATTATTTTCTGATATAAATCTTTACTATTGTCATTTGCTTGTTTTATAGGAAAGAAGCAGCAGATTTTCATGCAGACCACCAGTCAAGGCCCTTTTTTAAGTAGGTACCTAATTGGGAAGCAATGGTAGTTATTAGTATAGAGCATCCTAGAAAACTCAGTATATTTTTATAATTAAAAATTTGTTACATGAGAATAATCTGTCCAAAGGATCAGAATAACATCTTACAACTTAGAAGTGTTTTCTAAGAATTGTTTTTGCTACCCTCTTATTAGATAAGAATTCTTGTATCTCATGATTATGTGTACCAGCTCCCTACAATAAATACAATTATGTACAACAAACATGTACTAATAAAAATAAAAATAAAAAATAAACTGGCCAGGGATTTAGCTCAGTGACGTCGAGCCTGCCTTGCAAGTGCAAGGTCCTGAGTTTGATCCCTGGTACCGAAAAAAAAAAAACCCAAAAAACGCCCCCACAAAAAACAGATTATTTAAGTTACAAAACACATAGCTTTCTTTTTAGATTAAATGAATTAAAAATATAGTGATAGATATACTTTTATTAAATATTTTGTTGTGCTTTTGAAGGCTGTTTGGTACATATTTTGTCCTTGGGATATGGCAGATATTATGTGTTAGAAACTGAATCTCTATTCTGAATACTTGGGATGTTATTCATGTTAGGAAATATTGTATGTACTCATTACTATTGACAGATAAAGGGGTGTTTTCATTACTAAAAAGGAAGAATGTTACTTTAGCCAAATTGCTATAATAGACATGCTTATTGATATTTTACACAGAATAGTGTTTTTAAAAATCTTTATATAAGGAAACTACTATGTCATAGATTACTGTAAATCAAACATTGTAACATATTCCCAAGCCTTGTTAGAATGCATATATGCAAATTTCTAGCCAAGTAATGGAAATTATTCTTGGTTATAGGTCCTTTGTATATATTTATAGCATTGAGTTACAGCTACTTTAATGTCTTACATGTAATTCATATGCTGTGAATTTTATTAAATAGATGAACTAACTAGTTGTCTGGTATTGGGAAAGACATAATAAAAGACTCACTGCAGTAACTGGAAATTGTTTCAAGAAGCAATATTTAATGATCAGTCATACCATTCTCTGTATTATTACATGCCATGCTCATATTAGAGGCTTAGAATTCTATACTAAAAGGATATTACAGTGATGGTGAACTTTTTAGTTTTCAGTGATAAACAGCTTGCTGCGGCACACATGTCATAGGTTTGGCACCACTGGGATATTAGATTATAAATTTCTTGAGGGACCAGTCTTATTTCATAGCATAGATTCTGATAATGTAGTAGGTGATCCTTAAGTGCCTATCAAATAGGAAAACATTGGTTTGCTCCCTTGATTTGTCTTCCTTGGATCAAATAGTTGGTTTGCTGAGGTGTTCTTTGGGCAGCTGAGGTCTAGCAGAGTATGTCCTAGGAGGTCTTATGGTCTTCTTAGGGTAGAGGGTAAGAATGCTTCTTTATACATGCTATTTTTTTTTACAAATATTCTTCAAACTGAATTGAAGTATCAAAGGGTATCAGGTCTTACAAAATGGTGCATGAGGGAAGAAAGTATGTGAGACAGTAACAAATTAATAGTCACAAAAGGACCTACCACACTATGATCCTTTCTCCAGAAGTGTCTTGTCCTCTCTCCCTACTTTGGATGAGACAGAAATATAAGCTTACTTTAGAAAGCACATTGTTTCTGCTTGACACAGCAAGGGGCAGTTCACTTATTTCACAGTTAAATTTGTCACTGCTACCTTGTATACATTTAGAAGTGGAAAAATAAAATAAAGTGTCATTTTTTATTTCCTGGTCAACTGTGACTCAGTGTGAATTTTTATTCAGGAACCTGTATGACTTTTTTTTTTTTTGGTACTGGGGATCGAACTCCAGACCTTGAGCTCGTGAGGCAGGCGGCAGAACCACTGAGCTAAATCCCTGGCCCCTATGTGTATGTTTTAATAATTTAATTAAAGAATACCCAGAGTAGTTTTTCTACTAATTAATGAATATTTCTTGAGGGATTATTGATATCATTTTATCACTAAATTAACTCATCTTTATTGAGAATTCTTTGTCACTCTTTGAATTCTAATAGTTCTACATAAAAAGAATTAAATTCTTTTTATGAATGATGTATTTATTTATGAATGATATATCACTTTCATTACTTTGTATATTATGAAATCTTGCTTGAATGCAATGGTAAGCTACTTGAAAATAAAAAAGAAAAATCATTCTTTTTTTCAGAGCAGTGGAAAAAGCATAGATCAATAATATGCATTTTAAATCAGTAAAACAGTCTCAATTCCACAAAATAGTGATTTTTCCCCTGCTAACAGTAATCGATTTGACATTAGTAATATAGTAATTTATAGTGAATTGGACAACTACAGGACTCTCAATTTATGAAAATTTTATCTTGCTGAAAAATCTGCTTATGCACAATAGTCCTGAGATCATAATATTCATGTTTCTGTTGAGATGCTCAAATTTAAATATATTCTTGTTAAGAGAAATGCCTAGGTTGACAGAGAAAAAAGAAATCCATCAGTCTTTTACTGTTTTGTAGTGAGCTGATCCAGTTTATTACCAGTGGGCCTGTTATTGCCATGGAGATTTTAAGAGACGATGCTATCTGTGAATGGAAAAGGCTGCTAGGCCCTGCAAACTCTGGACTGGCACGTACAGATGCTCCTGGGAGCATCAGAGCCGTCTTCGGAACAGATGGAATAAGAAACGCAGCTCATGGCCCGGATTCTTTTGCTTCTGCTGCCAGAGTACGGTGTTCTAAAAATATTTTACTTTTGTTAAATTTTTTATGTCAAAGTAAACCATTTGACATTTGACCTTTTGCCTAGGATCAAAGTGTTTCATGTCTCTCTTATAAACTGGTATCCTGCTCATGATTAAGATTAATTTTCTACAATTAAAATACTTGTTATCCCATTTTTTGTTCCAAAAACTTAAATTACTAAGGCTCATAAATATTTGAGCTATTGAATTCATGTAAGAATACCAGTTTATGGATAGTAGTTATTCAAAAAGAAGGCATCATTGGATACAGTCTTTCTGTGCTTGAGAACAAACACTGAGTAGGCATCAGGGAGAAATTCTGTGGCTGGAAAATACAACATTTTGGAAGGAGAAAGGACCGTAGGTTCTCCCAACAGCCTCCCATTGACCTTGAGTTCCTCTTAGTTACTGTCTAATCTTTTCCTTCTCCAGACTTTACCAAAGCAAAAACTATTCTCAGTATTTTCTGCTTCTCAGCTTCCTTTGACAACTCACTAGGAGCAGTCACTGCAACTTGCCTTTATTTTCATCATTCCACTTAACTGTTTTGGCTTTTGGCTAAGATTTAACTTTAAAATTGGAGTTGAAACATTCATGTCTTATCTGACTATATCTCTCTCTACATTTGAGAAATTTGAGTGAGACCTTTCCTTCCTTCCTTCCTCCTTTATTTGTTCCTCCCTGCCTTTATTCCTTTCTTGAACTGAGGATGGAACCCAGGACCAGGGCACAGGGCTACATCCCCAGCCTGTTTCTTATGTTTCATTTTGTATAGTTTTTACTTTGTTTTTGTATTTTTTGAGATAGGGTCTTGCTATGAGTTCAGGCTGCCCTTGAACTCACTGTGTAGCCTAGGCTGGCCTTGAGCTTGCATCAATCTACCTGACTCAGCGTCCCAAGTCTGGAATTACAGGTGTACCCCACCATGCCCAGCTTATTTTTTATTTTGAGACAGAGTCTTGCTAAGTCTCTTAAATTTCCTAGGCTGGGCTTGAACCTGTGATTCTCTTGCCTCAGCCTTCCAGAGTGCTGGGACTACAGGCATGCACCATCATGCTCTTCTTTTTCTCATTTAATTCTCAGTCTCCTGGTCTAAATTAAGGTAGCAGTCGTGCCTGCACTATGGAGTTCTTCTGAGAAATAAGTAAAATTATATAAGTGCTTAGGCTAGTGCTTAGAATGTAATATTTAATGGAAATATAGCATCTGTTATTATTACAAATATTTGACTTTCATAATGCTTCCCAAATCTGTATCTGTACATTGTACTATAACAATGACATTTCTGTAAATGAGGGATTATATATTGTGTATGACAGTGGTCCTCTAACATTGTATGGCCTTGTGACATTGTAGCCATCTTAGTTTGTGTAAATACACTCTCTGATGTTTCCAGCAGGATGAAATCACCTAATGATACATTTCTCAGAAGGTATCTATCCCTGTTCTTAACACGACTGTAAAAGAATCAGTAGTATTCTTGGTATAGTTGAAATAACCAGTACCAGTTGTAAATGGGAGGGGAAAAAGGATTGAAAGGAGGGAAGGGGGATGGGAAAAAAATAATTAAGATATATTATGTACAGGTACAAATTCTCTGCAATGAATGTGATTAATATGTATGACAAATATGTACTAATAAAAATAGTAAAAGAAAATATGATTTTAGAAGAGATTATAATTCACATGTTAAAAAAACCCTATATGATACCTTTGATATATTGAACAAAAGATATTGGATATCTTTATAGAGAAAATTATGTCTTTATAATAACAACAAAAGGCTTGAAGATATAGATCACATTCATGCATGGGAAGATTGAGTATCGTTAAGATATCAGCTCTCCAAGTTGATCTATAAATTCAGTGTAATATTAGCACACAATTCTAGCACAGATTTTCATGAAACTTAACAAAATTCTGTTAAGGGCCAAAAACAGTCAAGACTGTTTTGAAGAGGGAGAAGAAGGGATAATACAGACAACATAAGACTTATTTTATGTGACAAGAACTCCTTGTAAAGCTTTAGTTGTAAAAACAGTGTGGTAGTGGCATGAGTGTAGACAGGTGTATAAGTGTAAATCAAGTGTACTCAAGAAATGATCCATATATAACAAGAATTTAGTGTCATTATGAATAGCTGGAATGGATTGATTGATTAGTCAATAAATTTTTCTAGATAATTTTATATGAAAAAATGTTAAATTAACTTATGTCTGAATATGGGATTCTCCTTAGAGTTTCAGCTTTATATCTAGACAATCTATTGAAACTGAACTGCATATAATTCACCAAACTATTCCTTTTATGTCCTGTATATTTATAGCAAAGACATTTGGGAACTAATATTCTTTATTCTGACTCATTTATCTTCTAAATCCAATCAATAAAAAGTCTTGCAGGTTTTTCCCTGTAAACATTTTCTTGAATTATCCCCTTTCTCTCCATTTCTGCCACCATTTTTCCAGCTCTAAACTGGGCTGCTCTAACAGCCCTGGCTAATACTTTTCCACTGCAAATACAACTTCCATGTAGACTTCAGAAGGAGCTATCCAAAAATAACACTTTTATATCTCATTTAATTTTCACAGTACCCTATGTGGTCATTTACAGTGTCTCAATTTACTGTTACAGAAACTGAAACTTGGAGAATTTTAGTACCAGTCTCATGTGAGAGCTTGAATCAGGCCCTCCAGCTCCAGAGTAGTGCATTTAACTACTGCTCTCCAATGCATATGCTGGAAGCATCAACCTACTTTGTTAAATGGTTACAACCATTTAGAATATAAAGTAATGAAAGCAACCTTTAGAAAATTTGAAAAGCATAGTAAAATATTACCATTAATAATTCTTCCAGCAATGTTTTGAAGAGATAACTATTTATGACATATTCCTTCCAGCTCATTCTTTTGGTCATGTATATATTTTACATAGTAACTATAATTTTGCATATTTTAAATTTAATTTGATTCTTTTTCCCATTTTCCATTTTATCACAACATTTTACATGATTTCATATTTCTATTTTTCAATGTTTTAGATTAATTTTTGAGAACAAATTTGGTATTTGGCATTACGAGAGTATGTAGAGAAAAATTTAGTTGTGATTTTTGCTGTGTTCATTTGGGAAATTTACAAACATAATATTTATTTAAAATTACTCTGTACAAATAAAAAGTTTTGGCCAAAACTTTTAATTGGAAACTATTTAGCAATACTTTTGTTAAAATTAAAGATATTAGTGTAAGTTGATCAAATGCTCTAAAGAGATTGCCATGTTTTATCAGCAGTACAACTCTGTATTTTATAATTTGTTAAAAAAAACCACTTACATACATCTTTTTTTTTTTTTTTTTGTACCAGGGATCAAACTCAGGACCTTGTACTTGCCAGGCTGGCACCAGAACCACTGAGCTAAATCCCAGCCCTCACATACTTACATCTTATCAAACTGAATCTGAATTTTTAATTTGTTCAGAAGTTATGAATACAGTATTTATCCTTTTCATTTAGATAATGTAAGGAAATATAAAGGGCCAAGAGTGATAGCAGGAGCTTTTACAAGAAGAGCTTTATGCAGTGTGCTTTAGCCCCTCAAATCACAAAAATATATACTTTTTTTTGGTAGCTTTACATTTGTTGTGTGAAAACTTTGAATTAGTTGCCCTAAGAAAGACCTAATAAAAATAATTTTGAAAAAAAAATAATTTTGCAAGTCTTAGCTTTAATTAATAGGTGACACAGGAAAAAAAAAAGCAAAGAAATAAAGACAAAAACAGAATTATTCACTTTTATTAAGAAGATATATTTAAGTAAAACCTTTATACATGTTGCCTTAAATAAATATTTATTCAGCATATAAGTGGGTATTTGGAAAGGTAGCATTTCCATATTTAAAAAATTAAGCAAGGAAAAACATTGGACAAGAAAGTACATTAATTAGAATTAATTTGAAACAAAAATAACTAGCCAAATAATTGGTGAAACAATTGCTATTTCTAGAGGTGGAATAATCTAGCATTGCTTTTTACTTTGGAAAAAGATGACAGAAAAAGTTTAGAGCTTTGGATTCATAATTACATGGATTTGAATCCTGACTGCCACCTGCTAATGTGTAAGGGTTTGTTACTCAAATTGGTCTTGAGTCTCTTTTTTTCTCACTTGTACTGTGTGGATATATTTATTTTATTTAGTACATGCAGTTTCTGAATTTCATTTATTCCAAAATATTTATTGAGAAGCTACCAGTGAATAAAACAAAATCCCTGCTCACAAGGAGTTTATATCTGTTTTGAAGGGGTGTCAGATAAGAAATAAATAGACATCTGAATATGTTGGGCGGGAAGTGCTTTGATAGAAATAAATCATAGAAAAGGGGTAGAAAAAAACAGGATTGAAGGGTTTTATGTTGAATAGGTTGAAGGTAGGGTATGATTAAGAAGAAGATATTCAAGTCCTCACAATATCTGGTTTGAACAGAGATCTAAAGCAAATAGGGGAGAAAACCATGAATATGTTGAGATAAAGAACATTCCTAGAAAAAAGGGGAACAGTGCATGCAAAGGTTCTGAAATGGGCATATAATTATTATGTTCAAAGAACAGGGAGGTGGCCAGGCCATAATGCTAGTAGAAATGGAAGGATATTATGTCAGAGATATAGCCAGCAGGCAGATCATATAAAGCCTTGTGGGACATCTAAGGACTTTGAAATTCATTCCAAACAAGATGGAAGACCATGGAGGTTCCACGTGGAGGAATGCCAGAATCTAAGATATTTACAAGTTTTGTTCTGGCTACTATACTATAGTAAGGACAGGTCTATTTCATTCCTTCATTGATTACCTGCTAGGCCCTTTTAGTTTAATTTAATCTGTACCGTGAGGTTTTCTAGAACTATGTAGCCCAAGTGTCTGGTACAGTTAGAAGTGGTATTTGATGTTGTTATTGATCAACAGAAGTAAGAAGGTCAGCAGTGTGATAGAGGGAAACTTGATGTCTAAGGAATAGAACATTTTTATTTTGCTCTAAAAATGTCTTATCCCAGGGCCGGAGATTTAGCTCAGTGGTTCTGCCACCTGACTCACAACCACAAGGTCCTAAGTTCGATCCCCGGTACCCCCCCCCCAATAGATAAAAGTCTTATCCCTAGAATATATATATTCTAGTATATACATTAGTATGTGAATAGTTCCACTTATTTCCGCCTCCTCTCTTTTTAAAAATGTAATCAAGGGCTGGGGATGTAGCCTTGTGGTGGAACACTTACCTGGCATGCACAAGGCCTTGAGTTTGATCCCAAGCACCACAAAAATAAAAATAAAACATAAATAAATATTCATTAGTGTACCATCTGAACACAGCCTGTGACCTTTCAATTTGAAATTTAATGAATATTTAGTTTGAAACAGGCATTGTTTTAGTTACTTTGGAGTCTAAAGTTCTGCAAGTTAATTTCTTACTTCAGTGGTATAATTGGCAGAGGGCAAGTACTTGAAGCACCTTGGCATTGAGGGAGGACAGAATGCTGACCGGAGGCCTCGGGAAAAGCCTCCTAGAGGACAAACTATTTGAAGTGACTTTTTACACAGTGGCAGGGGTTTTGGAGCTTGGGCAGAGGGCTTTATAGAGGGAATAGAGGAAATAATAATGGTAATAATAAAGCTTAAGGCAGGAAAGCACCTAAATAATTAAAAGAACTGATTAATGTGACCATCTTTGTGACTAGTTCAGATTGCTGGGCTGTGATTTTAATGAGTCATATGCAAAACAACACAGCCTGAGTCAGGATGTAAAAATATAAATGTGGTTCATTTTATTTGACTTATACTAGAACTATAGTAAGTTTAGTTTTAGCTAATTTTAATTCTCTGATTTCTGAACATTAATCTGTTTCTGTACAGATTTCCTTTTTGTTCTTTTGCTGAGATTACAAGTATGTGCTACCACATCCTGCAAGATTTCCTTGTTTTTAATTATATTTTAATGAAAAATTTAAAATGAAGCCAAGTGTAGTAGTACCCACCTGTAATCATAGCAGTTTGGGAGACTGAGACGACAGGATCACAAGTTTGAGCCCACCCTAGGCAATCTAGTGATAGTGAGGCCATATTTCAAAATAAAAAACAAAAGAAGATGTGGTGTAGCTCACTGAGAAGGCCCTGGGTTTAATCCCTAGTACTACATTTTTTAAAAAGTTAAAAATTAGATCTATTGGGCCGGGGATTTAGCTCAGTGGTGCTGCTGCCTGCCTTGCAAGTGTAAGGTCCTGAGTTTGATCCCTGGTACCAAAAGAAAAAAAAAAAGCCCAACAACAACAAAATTAATCTATTTCTTAAGAACTATTCTTTGAGGGGAAATAAGAACTTTATATTGATTATTTCCAGCATTCAAAATTTATTAAAACCTTGTCACTTATAATCTGGAACAGAATGTCCCATATTTGCATTGCTTTAATACTTCTTTATGTGTTCTTTTGATTATAAATCTTTTTGTTTGTTTTTTTGGTGCCAGGGATCGAACTCGGCTTCTTCCACTTGCGCAACAGGTGGTGGAACCACTGAGCCAAATCCCCGGCCCCTTGACTATAAATCTTGAAGTTAGTTATAAATCTTAAGTTAATCAGTTTTTGTAAAACATATTTAGAATATCTGAAACAGAGACTTTATATTATGAAACTTTAATGGCAATTATAAAATTCTACCACATATTCTGTAAATTCAAGATGAGAGATCATATGTGTCAAAGTCATTTCTCTCTGTCTCTAGGAAATGGAATTATTTTTTCCTTCGAGTGGAGGCTGTGGGCCAGCAAACACTGCTAAATTCACCAACTGTACCTGCTGCATCATTAAGCCCCATGCTGTCAGTGAAGGTGAGTGCTGTGTTGAATACACTACAGCCAATACGTTTTGTTTGGAGGACAGCTTATTTTGTTAATGTTTATTTTCTTGATAAATTTTATATGATGAAGTATACATTTAACATTAAAATTTATTTTCTCTTTGAGGACACATGAATAAAGGGAAAATTATAAGGGAAAACCTGTCTAAATCTCCATCTTTCTTTGTGTATCTGCATTTTTAGGTGTTCCATGGGTTGCTGATCATGGTCTTGCTCATTCATCTTGAGTCCTTGACTTCTAATCTTCCTCTGGGCTTCTACTCACATGACTGTGATTTATTTAGCTCATTCAAATAGCACTCCGAATATTTTATCACACACACACACATAGAGAAAGCACAAGTTTTCCCTTTTTTTTTTTTTTTTTTGGGTACCGGAGATCGAACTTGGGTCCTTACACTTGCGAGGCAGGTGGCAGAATCCTGTATTTTTAATCTCAATTTCCTCATCTGTTTTAGTCTGTTGTATATATTTCTATCAGCTATCCCCAATTTTTAGAAGTGAGATGGAGCATAATTAAAAAGAGCATCTTTTAAAAATTACAGTATACTAATAACATATAATTTAATGTATTTTTAAATGTTATGTTTCCTAAGCATCAAAGTAATTTGTGGATAGAATAGAAAAACTGGAAAATAAAAATACATTAAAAAGAAAACAACAAAAATTTATCTGTTTTCTATCATCCAGACATTGTTGGTTATTTATTTACTTCCTCCTCTTCTTCCTCCTCTTCTTCTTCTTCTGATTATTATTATTATTATTATTATTATTATTATTATTTTTGTGGTACTGGGGATTGAACCCAGGGCAAGCAATCTTAGCTCTGAGCTAGATTCCCAGCCCAGCCCAGCCCCTTTTATTTATTTATTTATTTATTTATTTATTTATTTATTTAATTTTGAGGCAGAATCTCTCTAAGTTGCCCTGGCTGATCTCATATCTGGATTCTTCTGCTTCAGCCTTCTAAGTATCTGGGTTTACAGGTGTGCGCCACCACACCTGGCCATTGTTAATATTTTGACACATTTCCTCCAAATGTGTGTGTGTGTAGGGACATGCACTAAGAAACATAATTATTAACATCATTGATATATTATAGACTATTGCTTTAATTAATTTTCATGAGCCTTTTTGTCTACTGTTAAGTCTTTGTGAATATTTTAATAGTTTATTTAATATTTAATACCAATCATATGGATATGGTATAATATTTGAATACTTAGGTTGTTTCTAGTTTTTGATATAAAAAATAAAACTTTGAAGAATATGTGTATATAAATATTTGAAGAGATCTCCAGTCATTTCCTCTAGCTAGTTTCCTAGAAGTAAAATTATTGGTTGAACAGATATGAACCTTAAACATCTTGTTGCATAATTAATACTTCTTTAATTATTTAAGAAGTGCTTTAATATCTTAGGGACCGTTAGAACTATAATTATAGGGAACATAGATGCATGCTGGGTAACAAACATATGTGAAGAGCTTACCACTACGTGCCAGGTAGCAGACTGGTTGAGTGAGGATGTCAAATAGATGGATTTATCATTCTTTTCCAGATAAGCAAGCTGAGGTTCTATGAGATTATGCCCTCTAATTTAGTGTAGAAAACCCAGGATGCAGACTCTGATTTTTTTTTTTTACATTAATGTTCTTTCCTCTAGATGTATTTCCAAACAGCAACAAAACCAAAAGCATAACACTTCCACAGAAAGTCCTAGCAATATAAATATTTAAAAATCTGTGAAAAAATTTGAGATCTTATGTTGCATTCATTTCTCTTATACCACACACACACATAACTAATATCTCCCTAGGTAAGAAAAATGAGTGTAACTTAAGATCCTAGGAGTTAAAAAAATAGATTATGCACACATAAAATGTACATACTTATAACAACGCATGTTTCAATGTGATAAGTTCTTAAAGTTCTCAACTTAAAAAAAAATCTTATTTTTAAAACCATATCAACTTTTAAAAAAACTTAATGTTTCATTCAATTAGATTTTTATCAATTTAATCTTTTAAAGAAAAATGTGATACATGCAAAAAGGCTGAAATAAAGTGGAAGAATAAATAATAGTTATATGCCTTAGTAACTATACAGATAAATGTAACTGAAATCTAATAAAAATGATAATATACAGAAATAAAAGGTGATGTCAAAATGACCAATTTTATATATAATTTTTATATTACTACAAGTTAAAATCATTTTCAAGCCAGGCACACCTGTAATCGTAGCACTCTAAGACAATTTAGTGACTTAATGAGACCTTGTCTCAACATTTAAAAAAATGAGGTAGGAACTGGGAAAATATCTCAATATGAAGGCCCTGGGTTTAATACCCAGTACCTCAAAACCAAAACATTTTCAGTCAGAGCTATACTTGGAAGATTAACTGCATTCCTTTTTAATTTTTTTGTTGTTGTTGTTGGTGCTAGAGATCAAATTCAGGGCCTTGAACATGGCAGGCCAGTGCTTCACCACTTGGCTACATTAGGGATACACATTAATTTAAGGCAAAACAAATTTTCATAGAATCTTTTCAGATGGCAGAATAAACTTTGGCATTCTAAGGTTTTGGTTTTCCATTTTTCCCCTTTTCTTTCTAAACCTAGGTTTCAGGGACACTAAGACACATTATGAAATATATAATTAACTCAATTCAGATTAAGCCATAGCTAAAATGAAGTACAGTTTGAAATGTCATATTTTTATTGTGATTCCCTTGATTCCTCTAAATTGCTGGCTTATGTTTATCTTTTTTCTTTAATGACCCCATCTTCTGGTGTATTTAGTTTTACCTGTGATCTAGTACAGGCATGAAAGAAGAGATTTAAAAAAAAAAAAAGGCTGGGAAAAGTTGCTGATAGAGCAACTGAAATAGCATTTGATGACTGCCAACCCCCCACCCCAGGAGAGAGTAGCCTGTTGATGTAGCAAAGCTAAGTTTATTGCTTAGTCAGGAAAAGCACAACCTTGTTGAAATTTTAGACTCTCCAAAGAGAGGTCATGGGTAAATATGGTAGAGGTTGGGGTCTACTCTTAAGAGGCCTAATGTGAGTTTATGATACTGTATTCAGTGGAAAGAGTGAGTCAAGGATCTTAACTATGACGTGCAAATACACCGTTGTGTGATAAGTGAGTTGTTTGCTCATTTGAGGAAAAATTGTGAAAAGGGACTGTTTTAGTAGTCTGTTGTTGGGATAAAAGGATTTGGGGGAAGTTCGTGCAGCGAACAATGAAGTTATTTACTGATTTGCATCCTTATCTTTCTGGGCCTGAATTCCTTGGCATGAAGAGTAGTCATGTGTATGTAGGAGTCTTAGTTCTTAGTCTTATACCTACTCTATGTGGATGTAGTGGTTTCACTTCTCACTTCTAAGCGGGCTAAGAAAAAAATAAAGAGAAACCTTTGTGGAATAGATGGTGGGAAAAAGAAAGTGTATTTGAGGCATTTGCAGTCATTTTATATGTGCTCATTGAAACATACTGTACTGTCATTTTGAGCCTCGGGTTTAAAAGGTATGAAAAACCAGCTGAATGTTCTTGTGTTCTTTTTTAATTTTAAAATTATACATGTTTGTTTTTATGTGTAATTAATTCCATTCATAAAATGAATAATTTTATTACTGTGAAATCAATCTATGTAGATTTAAATTCTTGTTCTGCAACTTACTAACCATGAATATAGTCTTTTGCCTCTTTGTACCCTCCTTTCTTATTTGTTACATTTTCTTCATGGAGTAACTGATGATTAAATGCATTAGTATATGAGCATCACTTATGACAGTATCAGGGACTTACAGTGTCATATAAGTAAATGGTAAGCCTTATTACTGTTCTGATTACTACTCTTTCTACTACTACTGCTACTAGTATTTTTATCTTTTAATTTTTAAGTAAAATTGAATAATTCCCTAGTAACAGAGCAATAGTTTCAAATGATTAAAAAAAATCAAACATCCACAGGAGGAAAATTCCTAATCATTGTTTAAGGGAAAAAGTGCTTATTTTCCCCAGGTAAAGCTTAGGTCTAAGTTAAGTTCATGGGATAGTATTATTGCTTGTTTGGTTAATTCTGCAGGTTTTTCCAAATGCCTGTTATGATTGGCACTGGCCAGGAGGTGGCAGCAAATCTGGGAGAGCTGCTTAACCTTCAGAAGTGTTGGAACCTTGACGTTTGTTAGAAACATTTTTTTTTTCAACATTTTTTCCCTCACTTTTTCTCTTTATTTCTTTCTAGCTCTCTCTTGGATGGATAAAGTTTTCTTATTCTCGTCCTTTCCCACTGTTTCTCAGCTAGTTTGAAAGCCATAGATGAGGAGTCAGCAAACAGTAGTACTTGAGTCAAAGTGGGCCAGCTGCCTAGTTTATGAATAAAGATTTATAGAACCCGTCCCCATTCAGTTATGTACTGCCTGTGACTGCTGTTATGCCACAACAGCAGAACTGAGTGTTCTGATAAATATCGTATCACCTGCAAAGCCTAAAATAATAACTTTCTGGCCTTCTACAGAATCTTTGCTATCAATGGTGTATTTTTAATTGGTTATACCTAAATTTTAGCATGTGTGCTTAACTCCAAATTATATTGATAAAATTTAAACTTCTTTACTCACTCCAGATTTGTCCCGAAATAAGAAAAAAAATTAAGAATGCTTTAAACAGCCACTGAAATCTCCCGTTTTTCAAGTTATCATTTTAAGAATGTTAATTCCCTTTTATTTTTAAATCAACTTTATTTATGTATAATATTTTTGTGTTTCAAATTCCCAGCGTCCAATTAAGAGATTTGTTTGTTCATTTTGCAGTACTGAGGATTGAACTAGGGCCTTGTGTATACTAGGCAAGTGCTCTACCACAGCCAAGACCCCGGCCCTTTTTATTTTGAGATAGGGTCTTGCTAAGTTGCTCAGACTGGCCTCAAATTTGCATCCTTCAGACAGCTTCCTGAGGAGCTGGG